GCTCCTATCCCATCTCCCTCTCAGACAAGCAGGAGCTGGGAGCTCTGGTCCACAGAGGAGAGTCACGTGGTGGGAACCAGATCAGTTGCATCAATCCTGGTCAACACAGAGAGAGAAATTCTGAATGCAGATGACCCTCACACGTGTGCCTCAGAGGAGAGGCTAGCTCCGATTCTGCAGCTGAGGACATTAAAACTTGCAAAGCTAGTTCAAGGCAGCAAAGCCAGGACATGGTTCAAGTGGAAATTGGGACCAGGTCTTAAATCATACTCAGTGGCTTTTCTGCATCCCAAGTTGAGTTGTTGACTATTTAGCATGCAGGTCCCACTTCAGACCTCCTCCCAGGCTGCCCAAGCAATTTTCTCCAGGCCTCAGCAGGAAGCAAATGATCAAGACTCTAAAAATATTAGCAAAAGCACTTCATATCTGGAATTATCTTAGACCTTTTGATACAAAAGATCAACATGGACAGGCATGCCCCTAATTTCCAGTCTAGTTCTAGCTGAAGGAATTGTTCTCTCTCTTCTCCATTCCTCAAATCCACTCAATCACCCATCATGATTTGTTTTTAGAGATATGAAGGAAATTTGTTTCTTCCCTCCATCACTATTGGCACTGCCTTAGAGCAGGTGACAGCTTCTCTTACCTTGTCTGCTTCAGAACCGGCCTCCTTGTGTCTGGGGTTGTGCCTAGAGATGGGCTGTTTCTTTATCAGAGCGAACTCGTCAAAACCCAGATTTGGCCCCAACATGTGTTTCTTTCCAACCCCACCATGTCATCCATTATACTATAGGATAAATCTCATTTCTTCAATAGCATACAAGGTTTTCCAAGGCTGGCCTGACCTCCATCCATCTCAGCAGCCTGAGCTCTCACCACTCTCCGCCCCTTACTTCATGTTCCAGCCACTGCTGGAACCGCTTCTGCTTCCTTAGATAGATCATGCTGCCTCACTTTCCAGACCTTGTTTCATGCCATTCCCTTCACACAAAGTGCCTGCTTTCTCTCCTGCATGTGACTTAATCCTACCCCGTTTCTAAGGCCCAGACACCCCCTCCTTCGCTCTCCTCCTGCTCCTCCTTCCCCTCTCCAATACAGTCGCTCATTCCTCTCTGGTCCCACTGCATCCTGGCATGCATCTCTCTGCCACCACTGACATCATATTGTAGCATTATTATCCATGTGGGCACCTGCCTTCCACACCAACTTGGGACAGAAGACTGAGAGTAGGCATGCTGTCCATGCACAAATGGCCAGACGAGTACTCACACTCACAATGAAAACACAAGCCAAACAGTGGATTTGCATGCTCACCTGCTTTGGATACAGATTCAGGTTTGCTCACTCTCTCTCTTCCCAGAGCAAAATGGCCACACAACCATAGTGAAGTGGCAGAAAGAAAAAGAAAGCAAGCTTCCTTCCGGGTTCAATTCAGACACATCTACTGAGGATGTTTCAGGCAGATGTGGAAGAACATCAGGCTGGCATTTGAGGGGCGAATGGCTTTGTGAGGAGCCTACTATTATTATCTCCTTTTCGAAATAAAGGGATTTGCAGGTCAAGTAGATTTAGGAAATACTGCATAGTGTTATACTGAAAGCTCTGTGAGGTCCTGCAGTAAATTAAATGTATATATGTATATATTTTACAGATAGGCTGGTCTCGAACTCCTGTCCTCAAGTGATCCTTCCACCTCAACCTCCTGAGTACATCTTTAATCTAACATTTTTGACACGCATTTGATCATAGTCTCTCCTTCCCCTTTCCTTTTCTACACATCATTCAGAGGATTCTAAGCACATGTGGGTAAATGCTGTTTAATGGAAATGTGTGTAAGCCACAGAATCAAGCAGATCCTGCTTTGAGTATCTGCTTCACCATCTCTAACAATGAAGACAATTCATTTAAATTATCTGAACTGAAGTTCCCTCACCTCTGCAAAACATGGACAGTAATATCAGCCTGATAGGTCATCATGAAAATTAAAAGAGAAGCCTTAAGTAAACCACGTGGCACTTATTAAGTACTTAATCATCGCTAGTTTTGCTTGCTTTCCCCAGTGTCACCCTAGATGTCTACATTAGAGCCATGTCTACATGGCCTTAACACCTCTGGCAAAGAAGCAAATGCCAGCAGCATGACAACTCGCTTTCTAGGGCACCAAACAAGCATTACACTTTACTGAAATGTTTGACTAAATTGACCTGAAACAATGCCTCCTATAGGCATACCATCAAACCCTCCTTTTCAAACTGACTGATCACTATTTCCAAATAAGGATTCCTTTTGTGCCATGGATATCATGGATGTCATGTGCCATGACACAAACGTGAAAGTATCCTGTCCTGGCGCCCGTGAGACACGCAGTGGGAAATTAGCCCCCAGCGTGGAGGATTGGGGCCACCAGGGTATCATTCAGAACACACAGCAGACACAACTTTCGTTTTATTTCTCTTCCTTTGAATAAAAACGTGTCTGATGCTTCACCTACAATGAAAATATTCTACAAGTTGTAAAAAACAAAAGTATTAACACACTTCATAGACATGCATAACCATGAGATAATTGTGCTTCTCAGTTCGTTGATATCACCTGACCCCCAAACCCAGGGTTATAATGTGCGCCTTGTTGTGTGGTAGTTCCCCAAAATATTATTCATGGGAGGTTTATAATAACAAAGCATTACCATAATAAATAGTGGTCACAAGAGTCTTCTATCAAGAAGAAACCTGCGAACCTTGCTCATATTCCCTACCCTTGATTCAAGATTAAATTTCACTTTTTAAATCACGATTCTAAATCCTAAGAACTCGAAACCTTGAAATTGATACCCTTTTTTGAAAGAAAAATTAGATAGGAACTGTCAGAAGGAGTGATCAAAATGACATGAAGCAAATCAGATGACGTGTGTGTAAGAGGTTTTCTTTAGTTCAGCTGTCAGGAAAACGCTGAAGTGTCTTATCTCCCCCAAAGCCCCAAAGCCAGGGTCCCAGGCCAAGCAAGCCAAAATTGTTTTAAGAAAAAATAAAGGCACAAAAGGCTTCTTAGGAAATTCAAATTTAAAGTGTTACTTAAGCTCACAGCTTGGACCTGTCAGAAATGGGAAATCCAGAATGGTGGTAGGCAAATGAAAGAAGAAATTATTTATACTAAAGATCAAATCCTGTTAAAAAGAACTCTAAAGAGACCAGGGTTGTTTAATTATTCTACCCTATTACTCTATCAAATATTCCTTGAAGTAACTGGGTCAGGATTTAGACCTTAGAAATTTAATTACTATACATAATTTTGTTGGAAGAGCATTTGTTAGAATGCTTTGATGGAAAAGAGAGCCTACTTTTTAAAAATCCCTTTATAATGAAATACAGTATTGGCAACTTCTCTTGAGGGGTCACTCAGATCACTTAAAATGGGTAGTGCAGCAGAGGTAAATCTGTAGTTAACCAATGTGGGAGTTATTGATTATCAGACCTGCTGTGTTCTGAAAGTGAATTGGAAACCCATTTGCCTTAAACCTTACAAAAAATATTCAGCAAGGGTTTGTACGTGCGTGCCTGTCATTGTAAGGACAATGTCATAGTCACAGTGGAGAGAAATACTGGTCCCCATCCTTCACTGCTCCCTTGCTCCGGCCTCATTGTGGCTGGGTGCATCTGCCTACCTGCATTGGTAGGGTTCAATCAGAGAAGCAGAATCGTGGTGAGGGGCATACTGGATTTCTTACAGAGATCAGACATTATGTAATCTTGGGAGTGGGGTAAGCCACCCATTTCAGGATGTTGTCCTTGCGTCTGGTGCTAGACCCGAGGACTGGCAGACGGGAAGGAAAGCTGGATGTGAAGCAGGGAAGAGCAGCGGTAAACCAGAGGCCACAGGATGAGCTAGATGCCACATGGCTGTCTCACTGCCTCCAAGCCTTCAATATTCACACAGAACGACAGAAAAGCTGGGGAATTTCTCCATGAAGTAGCCCTTGAACACCATCCATGATTTGAGGAAGCTAAAGGAGACCAGATGGGAGCTAACGGAGGTTGTGAGCTGGCTACTGCCTCCACGCCAACAAGGCAAGCCAGCAGGTACTCGCAGGTGATCGCAACTGCATAGACATGACCATGGTTTCACTTCCGCCTTCCAGACCTTCTGCAAATTTCTCTTTCAGCCAACCCTACTTCACACCCATAAAGAGAGGGGCATTCTTGGAAGCATAGTTTCAGCTTAGCTAAAGCCACCACACTTCCCCATGGCTTTGAGTCTAGCCATGTGACTTACAGAGGTGACCGTGTACCAAATCTATGTCCAGAACTTAAGAGACTTTAAGTTCCACCCGACCACTTGTACCATCTTGCATAGAACTGAAGTGAGAAGCACAGCAAGCCCATTGCAACCCCAGTGGCCACAGCTTAAAGCAGAAGACACCAGCCAAGCCCAGACTAGATGAACTGAACTGGGGCCAAGCAGCAACAATAAATGGTTGTTGAAGGCACAGAGTTTTGGGAAGTACCTGATACAGACTTACCTTGACTTTGATGATTAAGTACCCTCTAATCACTGATCCCTCTCATGATCCCCAATACCTGCAAGGTACCAGGCCCCTGTAGCCCATAAGCACATAGCCATGAAGTGATGCAGACTGAAACTCTGAAGCAAGAATTTAGTCTATCCTCCTAATTTCAGGAATCCACTTTTTAAAAGCAGTTGGGGTGTACATGCATAAATTAATCCCAACTACAGCTACAATAATACAAAACCTTGAGAAAGATAGTTAAAGAAATAAAGTCCCACATGAAGACAAACATAAAATCTGACTGAGGAACATGAATAAATGGAAAGGCACGCAATGTTCTTATGTGGGAAGACACAGTGTTGACAAGAGGCCAGTTCTCCAAAATTAAATTATGAATGTAACGTAACTCCACTTAAAATCCCAGTGGGATTTTGGGGTGGAGAAAGCTGGTAACATCATGAGGAAAGTGAAATGTGTGAGAATAGCCAAGAAATACCTTTCAGAGGTAAGGTCTTTTGAATCTTCAAATCTGTTTCTGATGGCGAGGGTCCTTCTGGCCCCAGGATCCCAGAAATCCTTGCCTCAAAGACCTTCACTTCTTTGCCAAGGAAGCCTGCATAAAGAGACTCAATAAAAGTTGATGAGATAAGCACATAGTCACACACACACACAAATAAAAATCTTTTTTTTTTTTTTTTAACATTTGTTTGAATTTCTTATTTTAGGCACACCTTTCCATTCTTTGAGCTACTTCAGAAGTCTGGGAGTTGTGGCTTGTCCCTGGGCAAGAGGGAACACAAAGAGGCAACCAGTGGCTCCCAAATGCACACCTGGTTGTGCAGAAGCTGTGTCAGCTGTTTGGTTGTGATTTTGACCCAACACAGAGCGGCGCAGACTAGGGATGAACAAGTGATGTCAGAAGTTTCAAGCCTTGAGATGAATAGCACTGATGTTATTTAGGTTTAGTCTTTAAGAAAAAGGCTCCTCTGGCATTCAAAAGCCCCTGTTTTCAACTACAAAAGCCCTGAGTGTCAAGGAAATCATGTGCTAGCCACTAACACTCAACTGTGGATTTTCCTGACTGCTAGGCTATTTTTATGCATGTAGTATTGGCTACAGTCTTTGGAGCCAAAGGTTTTATCTCCATACAATTTCATGAGAAAGCTCAAGCATCAAGTTGACGTTAGTTAACAGATCATCACCAGCTCCCTCTATGGGGTGAGGCCAAGGGGGATCCAGAGAACAATCTTGGGGGATTCTACTCCCAACAGGCTGCAGCTGGGGGTGGGGGCTGCAGATAATCCACAGAGCTGAAGGTGGTTAATGCAGTTTAGCCAGGAGAAGGGAGAAGGCTCAACACTAAAACACCCTGGGTTGAAATCCCTCCTCTACAGATCCTATCACTCTAAGCAAATTACTGGGCCTCTCAGAGACCCTACTTCCTGCCTGTAGAAGGGGGGTGATGGCGGCTGTTGACAGATCCTGGTGAGGATTATCCTAAAAAGTTATGTAAAGCCCTTACCACTGTGCCTGGCACACACAGTAGCGCTCCATAGATACTTGTATGTATGTAATGAATGTTAAAAAGCAGTATTAGAAGTGCTGGACTAGAGACACTAGTTCAGTAGGCACCAGGGGTGGAATGGGGCTATTAATTTAGCCTGGGGAGTTGGCTTAGGCTTCTCATAGGAAGTAATGTTTGAGTTGGAACTTCAAGAATGAATGGGGGCTGGGCACAGTGGCTCATGCCTATAATCCCAGCACTTTGGGAGGCCAAGGCAGGAAGATCACTTGAGCCCAAGAGGTTGAGGCTTCAATGAACTGTGATGGCACTACTGCACTCCAGCCTGGGTGACAGAGCAAGAACCTGCCTTAAAAAAAAAAAAAATGAATGGGATTTCAGCAGCCAATGATGAGGGAGGCTCTCCAGGATAGAGAAAGAGCATGTGCAAAAGAGAGGAGGTGGAAGGAGGTGTGAAGCGGGGCGAGGGCAGGGTGGTGAGGTATTGGGGCAGCTGGGCCCAGGTTGGGGGCACCCTGTGTGCCACAGGGAGGATCAGTGAGCAAGCAACCACACAGGGTTGTGAACTAGGGGTGATCCTCAATCAGATAATATCACCTTTTCATGCCATCTTTCCCTTCTCAACCTGAAACCTTCACAATTACAGAAAAGTAAGCACAGGGTGGCCAAGAAGCAGGCAGCCCAGAATCCCCTTGGCCACTGCTCTGTGTGAAGTGATCTTCCCACCATAGCCTGGCCAGGCCATGCCCTGTTGCCAGGCTGTTTCATCAAGGACTCTCATCATCCATTTTCCCAGAGCCCCTTCAGCTATCATAAGAACATATTTTTCCACTGGGAGTCTACTAAATGTCATGTCTAATTTAATCCTAAATACATTTCCATAGAAAAAGGAATCAAATGAGTAAACCTCTTCTACATTCCTGATTTCTTGTTTCTCTAGGCCTTCACCCGCATCTCCGTTCTGTCTCTCTCTCTCTTTTTTTTTTTTTTCTCCTGAGGAAGTAGAAGTGGATGGGGATGAGAAAAGGAGGATCCTGTCACTTACTAATTCGTTTTCCATCCTCAGCCCTGGATTTCATTCTCTCTGAGTGGGACAGAACAGATGGAATTGTGCCAAAGGGAGACTAACTTATTTATCCCGAAAGCGTAAATTACCCCCAATTATCAGAATCCCAGTTACATCCAAGTAAGCCCCTCTGCCTCTCCTCAAACATTTTGGTTTTCTCAGCTGTTCATTTAAGTTTTAATGGGATAGCGAGAGGTTAGAAAGTCGGGGAGAAACTGAGCTTTGCTGTAGATCTAAGCCCCCTCTCCCTCCCCATTACGCCGAGTTCTTCCCTGCTCTTCCTCGTGGGGGGACCTGAAATGATTCTGATTAGCAGCATATGGTGGGAAGACCCCTGGTGGGGACAGGAGACCTGGGCTTAGCGTCAGCTCGCTGCTGAGTTCCCATGTGGCACCAAAGTCTCACATGCCCCAAGGCTCAACTTCCGCATCTGCAGGACGAGGGATTCTAAGGATTCTCACCAATATCTCTTCCCACCCTTACTGCTATAATTTCAAGGTCCCAACCAAATTTACCTTTTGTTTCTGAATTATCTCCAATTTGATTTAAAATTATTTACGGAAACCTCCTGTGATGTGTGCATTAGGGCAATGCCACTGAGAGTGTGGCCACAGCCCCAGGCTTGTCTGCCCATTTTTCCCGGTCTGTGTTAAGATAACTAGGAAAGTTGAAAGTAAGCATTTATAAATTCTATGACAATTTGACATGGCCAAAACCTCCAAGCAAGTGACTAGGGACCTCGTTTGTCTGAGCTTGCATGGTGAGTTGTTTGTGGCATCAACTATGTTGTACACAATTGGACCTTATGTAAAATGGAAATAAAAAAGAAACAAATACTCCAGCCAGGTGATCAAGGTCAACATCAACAGTCATGCTGATAGTTTGTGCCCTTAAATATGATGTAATAAAAATGTCACTTTACCTCTGTAGTGTTCCTGCTGATAACCCTTAATTCCAGTTTTTTTAAATGTTAGAGACAGGGTCTTGCTCTGTTGCCCAGGCTGGAGTACAGTGGCACAACATAGCTCACTGCAACCACAAGTTCCTGGGCTCAAGCAATCCTCCCGCCTCGGTCTTCTAAGTAGCTAGGAATACAGGTGCACACCACCAAGCCTGGCTAATTTTTAAAATTTATTTTTGTTGAGACAGGCCCTTGCTATGTTGTCCAGGCTTTTCTTGAACTCTTGGCCTCAAACAACCCTTCCATCTCAGCCTCCCAGAGCACTGGATTTACAGGTGTGAGCCATTATGCCTGCACCCAGCCAATTCCATTCTTATGAAAAAAAATCACACAAACTCCAACAATAGAGCATTCTACAAAATACTTGACCAGTACTCTCCAAAACTGTCAAGGTCATCAAAAAAGAGGCAAGTCTGAGAAACAGTCACAGCCAAGAGGAGCTATAGATACATGATGAGAAAATGCAACGTGGTGTCCTGGAAGGAGTCCTGGAACAGACAAAGGACATGTGGTAAAAACCTAAGGAAACAGAAATAACTACAGACTTTAATTTATTTTTTTAAAAAAGAAAAGAAGGCCGGGCGCGGTGGCTCAAGCCTGTAATCCCAGCACTTTGGGAGGCCGAGACGGGCGGATCACGAGGTCAGGAGATCGAGACCGTTGGACACGGTGAAACCCCGTCTCTACTAAAAAATATGAAAACTTACGGGCGAGGTGGCGGAGCGCCTGTGAGTCCCCAGCTATCGGGAGGCTGAGGCCGGGAGATGGCGGGAACCCGGGAGGCGGAGCTTGCAGTGTAGCTGAAGATCCGGCCACTGCACTCCGGCCTGGGCGACAGAGCGGGAACTCCGTCTCAAAAAAAAAAAAAAAAAAAAGAAAAGAAACAAACTAGTCCTTCCCACAGATAATTTAAGAATCGCTCTAACATAGATTAATTTATTAAATCTTCACAAAAGCCCTAGGAGGTATGGAAAGTAAGTGGTCTATTTCCCATTTTATAGATCTTATGAATGAAGTAGCCCGGTCTAATGTTATTTAGTGAGTTAGAAAAGATTAAAGTTCAAGCCCTCTTCTCCTGGCTTCTGTTCTCTCTCTTTGGCTTTTCCAAGTAGATGGACATTTATCCAAGTTTATATTCTTTTTCTGATTATAAAACTACCCATGGTTGGTGTAAAAAAATTAAAAAGTATATACAAGAAATCATTCATAATTTCCAAAGTCAGAGCAAGCAGCTGCTAACTTTTAGATTTCCTTTGTGTGAGTGTGTGTGTGTGCATTTGTTTGTTTGTTTCCTGGGCACTTACCACTCGTAAGTGTTAGAGGGAGGAAGTGGGTACTAGAACCTAGAGGGAGAGAGAGAGAGAGAGAGAGCGCTCATGCACGCTGTATGGAGAGGGCCATCCAACAGGAGATCAGGAGATGGCCCTTGGGTGCAGGAATGCAGCCACCTGCTGGAAAAAAGAGGGAGGCAGAGAATAAGCAGGAGCTTACAGGACAGCAGGACAGACAGAAGCTTCATCTAGACCAGAGTAGCCATGGTCTGTAGGCAAATAAGAAGGCGCCCATTGAAATGAAGGGACTGAAAATGCAAGAAAGAAAGGGCTAGATGGTGACACAAGGCACTAAGGAAATAACAGGGATGGCATCAGGGATGGTGTCAAGAGCTGTGTGACAAGTCCAGCAATGGAACAAAGAAGGGACTAGGTTTCTCAAAATCAAAATGAAACAAGAGAAAGGGTGAAAATACAGTGATTTCTGGGGGTACAAAGGACATAGCTCAAGTCAAATGACCTCATCTTTTTAAATTTTTTTGTAAAGTAGGATTTGAGGTCACCTACAACTGAGAATGGGGCAAGAATACAGTCAGAGTTCTGGAAGGTAGAGTAAGTTTTAAACATCTGCTGTAGGGATTTAGCCAGAGAACTCATAAGAAATTAATAAGAGCAGTTTTTAGCACAACCAAGGTGAGAAGTGCGTCACATCCTTGCTGTGTCAGTAGAATAATGGCTACCCATGAACAAACTGTGACCTCAGCACTGGTGCACCTTTGACCTTATGACAGCAAAACCTTCAAGGAAGCCCAGCAGTCACCAATCAGTTCTCCCAAGCATGGCACCATCTGCTTCATCTGCAAAGGCCCGAATTCAACAATGTGACTCACCCTGAGCTGCACTTGTAAGCACTGTTAGCCAGAGAAGAGATGCGCCTGTTACCTCAACTTGCATGGGGTAGTATTCCAGTGAGGAACCTGAGGTTATGAAAGAAAGCAGAACCTGTTGGCTGGGCACACTGGCTCACACCTGTAATCCCAGCACTTTGGGAGGCCGAGGCAGGCGGATCATGAAGTCAGGAGCTCGAGACCAGCCTGACCGACATGGTGAAACCCCGTCTCTACTAAATCTACAAAAAAATCAGCCAAGCGTGGTGGCGTGTGCCACTCAGCTACTCAGGAGGCTGAGGCAGGAGAATTGCTTGAACCCAGGAGGTGGAGGTTGCAGTGAGCTGAGATCACGCCACTGCACTCCAGCTTGGCGACAGAGCGAGACTCCGTCTCAAAAAAAAAAAAAAAAAAAAAAAAAGAAAAGAAACTTTAAAAAAAAAAAAAAAAAAAAAGAGCAGAATTCTGTTACCCCAAGAAGAAGCAAAAGAAAACCTACAGCAGACACAGTACAGCTAATTTAAGAGTGGAATAGAGCAGGCCAGGAGGGTAGGCCATATGAATGATCGCGCCAGGAGCCAGAGGGGGAATCTTTCTGACGTAGGTCTGGCAGCCACTGCTGGTTGTCAAACTGTTGATGCTCTCTCCCGTTCTTCCTTAGGAAATGAGTCCCACTGTGTTTTGGGGACAACACCTTGGCCCAGCTAGAGGCGAAGACTTCCATGCTCCTGGCTAGGACTGCATCAACGTTGACTATACGTTCAGTGAAAGGTGTTATATAAGCTGAAGTCATGGATGAAGTTTTCAGAAAATCTAATATGTTTGTGATGATGTGTATGTAGAAGAAGAAGGTTCGTATGTCTATCAGATTCTAGGTCTGTGTTTCTCAATGCTGTTTCATGCTTATTCGTGCCCCCTTTGCCTGCTAAACTGTATAATTGGTAGTAATTGTTAGTTATGTGATGTATAAGTGGGATTTTCTAATCGTTGTCTCTGTGTATTCTATCTCTGTTCTTAATTGTAATTCGCAAGAACCTGGATCTCAGTGTCCCGAGGCAACTGCCGTGATC